TTTCAACAATAATTATATGTTATAATATGTCTACTTGAAGATAATTTCCTAGGTCTCTAGGTAACTGAACCCTTAGACTGGTATTGAATTAATTAATGCATGTCCATTGGATGCCTATATCAATTCTAAGTAAGCTAGAATGGTGATACATTGGTTATTAAGCATAATTTTAAGTTTTTATGCTTTAACTTCTTATTATATGCTACAGAAAGACTGTATACCATTGGGTCTATTGGTAAATATGTTCATTTTTTGCCACCTTGAAAAGCTGGATAAAGTGTGATTGTAGCAAGTCATGTTGTGTTTTTCAATGAAATGGAAGTTATTTTGGCTAAGATTTATGATTAATATATGTCATTGAAACTATTTAGGAACAGTAGTGTCAGAGAAATACAACTGTGTATGTACTTATATTCATCGAGGAAAATATTTTTTTTTCCTAAAGGATTGCTATTTTGAGGTCTCTGAAACCCTTTTCATAGTGTCAGAAGATGAGCTCCTCAGGTGGGAAGGCATTCAAAACTTGAAGGAAGAAGTTGAAGCTGCCCTGAAGGAATTGGCAAACAACAAGTTTCCAGGAATTGACGGAATACCTATTGAGATGTTTCAACAAATGGATGCCCCACTGGAGGCCCTTACTCATCTATGCCAAGAAATTTGGGAACATATTTATACCCATTCCAAAGAGCGATGATCCCACAGAATGTGGAAATTATTGAACAATATCATTAGCATCACACACTAGTAAAATCTTAGGAAGATAATTCAAAACTGTTGCAGCAATATATTGACAGGGAACTTCCAGAAATGTAAACTGGATTCAGAACAGGACATGAAACGAGAGATATCACAGCTGATAATCAGATGGATCTTGGCTGAAAGCAAAGAGTACCAGAAAGATGTTTACTTGTGTTTTACTGACTATGCAAAAGCATTCAATTGCGTAGATTATAACAAATTATGGATAACATTGAGAAGAATGGGAATTCCAGAACACTTAACTGTACTCAGGAGGAACCTGTACATAGACCAGGAGGCTGTTGTTCAAACAGAACAAGGGGATACCACATGGTTAAAATCAAGAAGGGATGTGTCAAGGTTGTATCATTTCACCATATTTATTCAATTTGTATGCTGAGCAAGTGATCCAAGAAGCCAGACTATGTGAAGAAGAATGTGACCTCAGGATTAAAGGAAGATTCATTAACAACCTTCAATACACAGATGACAGAACCTTGCTTGCTGAAAGTGAAGATGACTTGAAGCACTTATTGATGAAGATTAAAGACTGCAGTCTGCAGTATGGATTACACCTCAACATATAGAAAACAAAAATCCTCAAATGGACCAATAAGCAACATTACAATGAATGGAGAAAAGATCAAAGTTATCAAAGATTTCCTATTACTTAGTTTCACAATCAACACCAGTGGAAGTAGCAGTAAAGACATCACATGATGTATTGCACTGGGCAAATCTGCTGCAAATAACCTCTATAAAGTGTTGAAGAGAAAAGATGTCCCTTTGAAGACAAAGGTACACCTAACCCATGCCATGATATTTTCAATCACCTCATATGTATGTGAGAGCTGGACAATGAATAAGGAAGACCGAAGAAGAGTTGGTGCTTTTGAATTGTGGTGTTAGTGAAGAATACCATGGATTGTGAGAACAATGAACAAATTTGTCCTGGAAGAAGTGCAGCCAGAGTGCTCCTTGGAAGCAAGAATGGCCAGACTTTGTCTCACCTATTTTGGCTATGTTGTCAGAAGAAACCATTCCTTGGAGAAGGCTATCATGCTTGGTAAAGTGGAGGGTCAGCAAAGGAAGGGAAGGCCCTTAATGAGATGGATTGACACAGTGGCTTTAACAATGGGCTCAGGTATAGCAAGAGTTGTGAGGCTGGGGCAGGACCTGACAGTGTTTTGTTCTGTTGTACATAGGGTGGCTGTGAGTTGGAGCCAACTTGATATCACCCAATAACAACAAACCCCTTTTCACTCCTCAGGTTTGTTGAAGATGCCAAGGAACATTTTTATGGGTCACAACTACAGATAATGGGCAATGGTGGTTCAGTGGTAGAATTCTTGCCTCCATGAAGGAAACCTAGGTTAAGCACTTGGTTGCTAACCAAAAGGTTGCCCTTTTGAACCCACACAGCAGTTCCACAGAGGAAGTCTTGGTGATCAGCATCCATAAAAATTATAGCCAAGAAAACCCTATGGGGCAATTCTACTCTGTCACACGGAGTCATTATGAGTCAAATATTAACTTGACACACTGAACAACAACATTCAGGAGACCCAATGCAAGAAGGGAATGGAGTGGCATGTTCTGACCTCCTCCAATCTCACAAGGAGGAAACAGAGTCACCTTTAGCAGCCCAAGGCTTATTCCCATGAGGCCAAACATGCCACCACCCTCCAACATTTTTGTCAACTCTGACACCAACCATCCTTCCCATGTACTCACTAATTCTCTGCTGGGGTCTGTGTTGCAGTGGCCACACAGAACTCACAGACAATACTCACGATTATGGGGTTTATTAGGGAAGTAACAGGCTACAACTCCGGTTCAGGAACATGCTCAGGATACAATTCTTTGATCAGGACAATGTCCCCTCTGCTATGCCCTCAGGCATGCCTCTCTCAGCCTTGCCTCAGCCCTGCTCCGGCAAGTATTACAAAGTTCTTTTAGTTCTGCTGATAGGTACACTGAGGTGCATCCCCCCTCAGCCTTCCTGCTCAAGGGCACTCAGCTTTCATGCTCCATGGGCCCATAAGGCCTCCACTCTGTCTCCTGCCTCTTGGTTCCACTGCTGCCTTCTCTCTCAGCCAGGTGTCTTTCTTAGCCAAGGAAGTTCAGTGCAGGGATCTCGGGCCCAAGGACACACTCCACTTAACCTCCAGCTCTTCTCTCCTGATGGCAGTGAGATCCCCCTTTCTGCCTCTAAGAAGGCTCATTTTAAGGCTGGCAGAGTGACAAAACTAAACAATCCCAACATCAGAGTTCTACACACCTTATTTGTGTGTAGAACCTAAGGTCTCTATTTGTAGTGCCTAAGGTATTTGACTGCTAACTAGAAGGTGGGCTGTTCCAACCTACCAGCCACTCCTCAGAAGGAAGAGTGGGCAATCTACTTCCATAGAGATATGCATCAGAAACACAAGGAGGGGTCGCTATGAGTCATATTCAACTCAATGGCAGTGAGAGTTTTACCCAGTAATACGGTGGGAATTACAAAGACTGTGGCTGGCAAAGCCATGCCAAGTAATTAATTCACTGCCCTCCCCCCCAGGTTCCATTCCAAGCCAATGTACCTCATGCACACACACCCGTCTGTCAGTGAGGGCTTGTGTGTTTCTAGAATGTTGAACGAGTTTCAGTAGCACTTCCAGATTAAGACAGAATAGGAAGAAAGGCCTGATGACATATTCCTGAAAACCAACCGACCCTGTGGATCACAGTGGGCTGACCTGCAAAAAATCCTGGGGATGGCATAGCACTGGGCAGTGTTTTGTTCATTGTGCATGGGGTCACCATGAATTGGGGGCCAACTCAGTGGCAGCTAACAACAACTATTGATATTTACTATATTGAGAAGTAAATTTTCATTTTTGATTACTTATGGATTCATATGAAGATAGCAACAATGAAAGCATTTCATGTTAATGATATCTTAGCAATATTATGAAATTAGTTATGACCTCCAGGACCCACTGAAATGCTTTTAAAATAAAACATCAGTCTGTTCTAGATTTGAAAGAGTTTAATAAAACAAAATTTAGAAATGAATTTTATTTGCCATGGTTTATAATACCTGAGTTGAAAAGCTGTAAAGCATGTTACAATCTTAGCCAAGTGTGCTTCATTTTAATGGGTTTAATGCTGGTTTCAGAAGGAAGACTAGGCAATGTACTTCCATAAAGATTTACTGCCTCAGAAACCCAAAGGGGTTTGCTCTAAGTCAGAATTGACTCGATGGCAGTGAGTTTTGTTTTTTTTTTTCGATCACTGGTTTATTGTTTATTGCTTTCAACCACAATGTGAAGCGTCATTCTTTTTCCTCCCTACCCCTGGTTTAATCTGTCTAGATAACAAAGATTCTCTGTTTTACAAATAACCTACTCACTCCTGTTCAAAGAGTCCCCTCTGTCTCTTTCCTCATACCAGGTCTGTGGCTGGGAAAGAACTTATTTTGAGGAGGTGGGAAGCAGAGATTAAGAGGCAGGATATGAAGACACACGAGTAGTTTATTGAGTCTTATTTCACTTTTCTACTCCCACCACCACTGAATTGAAACAGAGCAATTTTCTGTGTACACAGCTCTCTGTTAAAAGATGGTCTTGGAATTTACAGTGCATGCCAGACTCGTAGAGTCCCTATTTAGGAGTAATAGTCTCAGAGAAATACAACTGTGTCTATATTCCTACTTGTCAAAGAAAAGATTAGTTTTGTCCTAAAGGATTTTTAAATTTATGTCTCTAAACCCATTTGCACTCTTCAAGCAAGAGGATACCAAGAAGTTTTTTGGGGATGCAAATGTCTCTGTGGCAGAAGGAAAAAGTAACAGGAAGCTGAGAGGCAGGAAGTATGTAAAGAGAGAGGGCAGAGGAAGATAGAAACTGAAGTGGGCTAAAGGCCCCTTCCTGGGTTTCCTTCCTTATCTCCAAATATTCACTGTTTATGGCCTAAGACCTAATATCTTCATCAATTAAGGATGAACACTCCTTGCCTATGTGAGACAGCCCTGAGAAAGGGGAATAAGGAATAAAAAGTACAATGGGAAAGAATCATGAGAGGAACCCTGAGGGCTAAAGTCACTGCTGTACCCCTGTCTCTTGCCTCTCTAAGTCTAAAAAGCTAATGCAGTGGGGACTTCAACAGCTTTGGTTGGTGCATTTACTCCCAGAGAGAATGATCCAATTTAACCAGCAGAGGCAAGAAGGAAGAGGCAAAGAAAGGGCTAAGCCAGGGTTGGCTGTATCTTGCTTGTTGCTCTATGGTCTGTACTTGCACAGGAAGTGTTGGCGCTTGTTGCATTCATTATTGTTCCAAGTTAAGAAACCTGTAAGAAAATAAAGAGACCTTTAAATCCATCTTATTCTATATCGAACCGACCAGAATTTTCTGGCTCTTTGGCATGGAGTAATGGTTAAGGTATAAACTTTGCCGACAGAAGAAAAGAATTTAAACTTCACACACAGTTGCAGAAGCTCCATTCCACATCTTACTTTTGAGGAAAGGCAGCGCTTGACATGACTTAACTAAAAATGAGCAGCTCTCTCTCTTTTTTTTTAATGCTGATTTGAATGGCATCTACCCACAATAAATATATTCTGTTATACTGTTACATATTCTACATATGTACATATTACATAATACATATGTTGCATTAGAGCTTCAATTCTAATGCACTTGGTTTTCTGGAAGGCTGTGGTCTATAGTAGGAGCCCTAACTCCATTTTGAGGCTTGACATAAGTTGCAGATGCCATTTGAGTTCTTTCTCGCCCTTAAACCAGCATTGTGGCTGTGCATAGAGAAGTTCCAGGACAAACCCAGGGACGGGCAGTTTGCCCTCAGGAAGACAGTAGTTGAACGTAGATTGTGCTCACACCAAGAACTGGGAAATTTACCGGAGTGTGTCCTTTTCTAATTTAAATTACAGTGGGGGGCTTGGTACCGTTTTGTAGCCTCCCTGTGGCTGTGACTCAGGCTGCATGGTTGTGAGTCATGCCTGGACCACCACCTAGCCAGGTGGTCAAGCCCCAGAACCAATTCGGTAACCCTTTTTAATTGTCAGTTAGGTATGTATCTCTGTTCCCCTCTGTCTCCACTATTGTCTTTTCCAATTTAATAATGATCAAGTCCAGAGAAACCTGAGAAGCCCTGCCCCCAGCACCTTTTCCTGATTCACCAGGGACTACCCCTCCCCATTCCCTAGGGAATTATTGGGAACAAGGTTTTTCACAGGGTCAGGCTCCACACAGTACTCATAGGGCTAACAGCCAGAGTAAAGAATCAGGGAGAACTAGAGTTTGGATGAGTCTGTTTTAAAGTTCATCCCAGACAGTCCAAATCCCCTGACTCCAATGGGGAAGGCCCTTCTCTCCAGAAGAGCCAGCTTTTATGTAAGATATTTAGTTTGTCAAAGTATCAGTCTTTGACCTTGGAGTCAGGTCTCCTGGGGCCTGTTTTCAGCTCTGCCCCTGAGAGATCCTGGCTAATTGAGCTCTCTGCCCCTTTCTCCTTCCAAACATTAGACCCTGGGCCTATCTACCTGCAGAAATACCAGTGCAGGACTAGGAGTTCCTCCGAGTACAGAATTTAGAGAAAGGACAGAGGAGATTAGCAGTAAACTATTTCCAACCTAGGAGCTCTGGTGGCATAGTGCCTAAGGCAGTTGAATGCCAAACAGAAGGCTGGCGGTTCAAACCCACCAACCTCCCTCAGAAGGAAGGCTGGGCAATCTAGGTCCCTAGTGATACAACCTCAGAAACCCAAGGAAGGGTCGCTATGAGTCAGGTCCCACTCGAGGGCACATAACAACAATAACACAACAATGTCCAACCTAGAGCCTTTCCCCAGTCCCACTCATCACAGACGCGTTACAAGGATCCAGGAGCCTTGCCAACTCCAATCCCCAAGGGCGGCAGTCCCAGCCTGGCCTAGGGGCGCCATCTGGCGGCCAGTCATACGAACTGAATTCCCTTTGCCCAGTCTAAATTACCGAAGCCAACCCCAGACATGGGCGGGAGTTGTCACCTCATCTCCTTCGTCTCTCTGGGGACCCCCGCCCCTGCCTGGAACGCACCTCCTCCCGAAAGGGCTGGCCTTAGCACTTTCCCGCAGAAATGCCTCCTTTCCTCCCACGTGGGATGAACGCTTCACCCTTAGAAAAAATGCCTTCGTTCTTCCCGCTTGGGACCTGCCCTACCTTGTCGCGCAGAGAGAGCTTACCCCTTCTCGAAGGGAACCTGCCCCACGCTCCTTTCCTTCCCCTGAGGGAACACTCCCTGCCCCGGCAGTCCTTCTCCAGGAATGGACTCTTCTCTTACCCATCCCCTCATGCGGAGACTTTCAGTCCACAGTAGTTAAGTCACTTGACTGCTAACCAGAAGGCTGGCGGTTCAAACCCACCAGCCACTCCCCGGGAGGAAGGTTGGGCAATCTACTTCCATAGTGATACCGCTTCAGAAACCCAAGGAGGGGTCGCTGGACTCCACAGCAATGGTTGCCTTGCCTTGCCTTGCCCCTCCTCTTGTCCTAAGAGAACCCCTCGTGCTCTTGCCCTCTTTCCCTCGTCTTCTCCGGCTCCTTGCCCCACAGCCCCTGGGGGACCCTAGACTTCAACCCCACAAAAAGCTCTTTTGTGTGTAAAACAGGAAGCTATGAAGCTCTGAGGATGATCTTTCTTAAAACCCACAACTGAGAACAAAAGGCTTTAATAAGAAGCACCTTTTCAACGTTCAAAGAATTTCCCTGAGCCTGGTTTTGCTCAGAGGCACCACTTCTTCCCCTTATCTGTTTGTGAAGAATGACAGCAAGAGAAGGTGGTCTCCGCTGGTTTCTCTCCCAGAAAGCAAGCTCCACAGTCACTGGAGTGTCTGACCCAGTGTTAGGAATTGTTCCCCAGTTAGATATCTGCGTAGCCTCTGACCCACAGGCTGGCCCTGGTGCAATGTGTGCTGGAAATGAGATGAGAGCACGGGGGAGGTGGCATGGTAGCACATGCAGGCAAGGGAGGAGGGTAAAGAGAGCCTCTCGAAGCCCCTTGTTCTCAGGAGGTAGGATGACTCCTGCTCATGCTGTATCCATGGGGCCCAGAGCTAGGGCTGTCGACAGTAATGAAACGGGGACTACAAGCTTGCTGGGCACTGTCACTGTGGGACAAAGAGCACATGGCATGGGGCCACTAGCCAGAATCTGGTTTAAGAGCTAGTTGAGTCTCATCTGGGAACTTCATTGCTTAGGGTTGCTGCCTGGGACCAAGTCTCTCATTAGTAGGTACTCTTGAGGTTGCCACCCACTG